CGCACCCAGCGCAACAAGGGTCGCGCTCAGCGCAGAATCACTACCCAAAAACAAGTCACACACTGCGTGCGCGCTCGGTGCGATCCCTGACCCGCCCGACGTGGGCCAACCAGAGACTCACCTTCTCAAGCTCGCCCGGCGCACACATCTTTGCGCGCGGCGGGCTTGTAAAAAAGGAGTCCCCAGGGGGTCTCGCGCCCGGTGCGAAGATAACAGCTGGTGAAACTTCTTGGTTTGCTGCGTATTGAGAAGGCTGTTGGTTTTGAGCTGAGCGAAGATGAAATCTTGAGGTTTAAGGGTAGGATTTGCCTACCTCATGATGCTGAGCTGAAGAAAGTTGTGTTGGAGGATTTGCTGAGGGCTTGTGTGTTAGACCACTTGGGAAGCTGGGAGGAGGCCCTACCGCTGGTTGAGTTCACGTATAATAATAGCTTTCATGCTAGTATTGGGTTGGGGCCGTTTGAAGCCTTATATGGCAGAAGATGTAGGACTCCTCTGTGCTGGTATCAAGATGGTGAGTCAGTGGTTGTGAGACCGGAGCTAATCCTACAGATTACTGAGGAGGTGAAGCTGATTCAGGAGATGGATGAAGATTGCTCAGAGTAGGCAAAATGCGTATGCTGATAAAAGGCGAAAGCCTTTGGAGTTTGCTGAAGGGGAACATGTGTTTCGGAAGGTGACCTCGAATTCTGGTGTAGGTAGAGCGCTGAGGGCAAGGAAGTTGACATCGAGGTTTGTTGGTCCCTATCAGATCATACAGCGTGTGGGTCCGACTGCTTATCGGTTGGCTTTGCCACCGTCTCTTTCAAACCTACACGATGTATTTCATGTGTCCCAGCCGAGGAAGTATGTTCATGACCCTAGTCATGTGGTGGAGCTGGATGATGTACGGGTGAAGGATAATCTGACGTATGAGAAATTGCTAGTAACTGTGGTTGATTATAAGCTGAAGGAGTTGATGGGCAAGTCCATTGCTCTAGTGAAGGTGTTGTGGGATGCAGCTACTGGTGAGGCTACTTGGGAAGTGGAGCATCGGTGCAAGGAGTAGTATCCGTTTCTATTCCCAAGTAAACCTATTTTCGAGGACGAAAATTCTTATTTGTTGGGGGGTATTGTGACGTAGCAAGTTGGTGTTTCAGTAGCCCAGAACGGGTCGTCCCCAATCTGAAACGGGCCGTTCCAAGCTATGAAAATGACCTGTATATCATGGTTGAGAACGGGCCGTTCTGGAGGGAGAACGGGCCATTCTGGATAGAGAATGGGCCGTTCTGAATGAGTTCCAAAACAGGCTGTTCTGATTTTAGAACGGGCCATTATGCATGCGATTTTTGCACTTGATGAAGGGGTGCAAAACGGGCCGTTCCAGTTTCCGTACAGGCCGTTCTGGCCACTCCGGAATGTCTATAAATAGAGGTTGTGGGCAGTTGAGGAGAGGAGTTTTTTTAGAGAGAAGTTCTAGAGAGAAGGGATTTGGACTGGAAAGCTGACTTTTGAAGGATTGAAGTTCCGAGTTGAGCTTCGGAAAGGGGATTCTACTTCTTGACTATCCTGATCCAATCTTCAGGTAAGGGCAGTTAGGATTTTTTGCCGGTTGTGTGTTTTATTGAGCTAGGACCACGGAATTGCGGGGTTTTTCAAAGTTTTTGAGCTGTTTTGGATGAAAACTCATTTTTTGGGTTTTTGGTGAAATTTGGGATTTTCATTGTTTATGGATGCATGTGAGTAAAGCTTGGATTTTTGGGTTGTTTGATGAAAATGTAATGTTTTGGGCCGATTGCATGTGTTTGGAAAGCTGATTTGGCGCAGGTTTGGAAGAGATTTTCGAAGTTTGAGGGTTGCTGCTAGGTATCACGCCGGGCGCAGTTATTCGCTCACTAGAGGGCTCCATTGGGCAAGCTCGCCGGGCGTAGTGGTGTATGCGTCGGGCGAGCTTGAGGGTGTGAGCCTCTAGATGGCCCACGCCGGGCGTGGTTGGGCCGCGCTGGGCGCAATATCAGTAAGTGACATTGCTTGGGGATTTCTGGTGTGGCGCCGGGCGTGACCTTGTCTCGCCGGGCGTGGAGACTCCTTGGGAGTCTCTGTCAGAGGTGGCGCCAGGCGCAATTTATATTGCACCGGGCGCGAGATTTTGGGGAAGTCTCTGCTTATCCTACGCCGAGCGAGGGTTTGCACGCCGGGTGTGTGAGACCTTCTGAGGTCTCTGCCTCCTAACACGCCGGACGCAATGGGAATTGCGCCGGGCGCGCTGAGCCCTGGTGCTCTCTAGTTGTGCCACGCTGGGCGCGACCATGAGCGTGCCGGGCGCAGACATGATATTTGATGTTAAGTTGTTATGTGTAGAAATGTGATGATAGATATGCTGAGCTGAGTTGTAGTTGTTAAATATTGTTGTGCTGACTAGTTGATAATGCTGAATTATGATGTTGAGCTGAAATTGATGAATATGTCGTGCTGTTAGATGTTATTGCTGATTAAGGATGTTTAGGTTGTGCTGTGAGCTGTGCTGTATGCTGATTTAAGCTGTATTTGATGTATATTGTTGTGCTGTAAGTTGTTTAGCTGAGCTGTAAGCCGCTATTGCTGTATGCTGATATTGCTGTGCTGTAAGTTGTTTAACTGAGCTGTAAGCCGCTATTGTTGTATGCTGATATTGTTGTGCTGTAAGTTGTTTAGCTGAGCTGTAAGCCGCTATTGCTGTATGCTAATATTGTTGCGTTGTAAGTTGTTTAGCTGAGTTGTAAGCTGCTATTGCTGTATGCTGATATTGTTGTGTTGTGCTTAGCTGTATGCTGTTATTGCCTCTAATGTGGTGTTGTTACAGCCGCTAAGTCGGTGCTGTTATTGCTACTATGTAGTGCTGTGCTCCGTGTTGAGAGGAGTTGTTGTAGGCCGTAAGGCTGAGCTGTTGATTACTAAGACTAGAGGAGATGTTTTCGAAATTCCTCATCCCATTATGTGGATTAAGTGACTATGGTGCTCTTAGAACCCAATTTGTTGAAAACCCTCCCTAGAAAGCTGATCCTTGGAGTGGTAACTTGTTCTCCTCTAAGTTCTTAGTGGTCCCGTGTGTGGGCAAGGTCGATGCACACCTGTACAAAGCGACCACGGTATAGGGGCCAGGTCGAGCTATACCGCTTACAAGCGACCAATACTAACTTATATGCGTGACGATGCATTATGTGTTTACTGCTGTTTACCGCTGTGTACTGCTGTTTACTGCTGTTATTGCTGAATGATGTGAGATGTGTGTTGTTATATATATAGTAAACTGATGTTGTTAAGATGATTGATGTGCTGATAGCTGTAACTGTTTACTATTCATACATATATATATATATATATGTACGTTGTTTCTTTTCACTAGCTTACCCTTTGTTGTTTCCATGTGATTTGGACTGCGATGATCATACTATGTATGAGAGCAGAGCAGGGTTAGGTTGGTGTGCTTAGGAGAGTCTGCAGTTGGCAGATGGCATTTGTTTTTGTTGTTGTTGTATTTAGCTACTTAGTGTAGCATTGCTGGTTGTATTTTGTACACTTTGACTCTAGCCAGATTTGGATCTTGTATATATATATATTTTCTAGACACTATATGTATATACTTGTTCTTTTCTGTGTGATGTTCTGGTGTGTTGTGCTGTGCTGTGTGTAGTGACCAGTCGAGTCGTTACAAATACTATATATATAATTTAAAATTTTATGTATATATTAAATGTTAAAAATCTATAAGTGTTTTATTTTAATTTTTAGTGTTGTAAAATTATAGTATTTTATTTATTTAATATTATTTTTATATTAATCATAATTATTATTTCTTATTATTATTTTATTAATATCAATTTCATCATAATTCACCTATAATTCAATCATTAAATTTTGAGTGCGGTCTCACTTTGAAAACATCGGAATATACCAACTACTATTTTTCACATTTTCAAAATGCAACTTTCGTTAAAAGTTTCTTAATTCATTTTCATACGACGTACTAATCTAATAGTGGTAACCGATACGAAGTCGCTAACGTCATCCAAAGTTCTGGCTACCTCAGCTTTAGCTAATTTTTCTCAATATCCAGGTCAGATTCAGTGTATAAGTTACCAACTACTCCCTTTTTTATTGAAATGAGTAGACTATTAATTACCATTATTACTTCATTTTCATCCACTTTAATCATATATTTTTCTTCATCTTTGGGTCTCTTTCGTCTTTATATTAAAATGTTAGAAGTTGACTCAAGTAGTGACCATATCTTAGGAAGGGATCTCCAACATCCATGGTGGATTCATCATAATTTGCCTTTTTCTTTTGTCAAATCCTTGGAGAATTAATTAAATAAGAATTGGACATAGTCTAGGGTCATGTCGTGATCGTTACAGAATTTAGGTTCTCCACTCAGCATTTTCCCACATGCACCCAACAATTTCCGTAAATATTTAAAATCTTTCAGAAAACCCATTTTGTATTTTCCAGGAGTGTTCGGAACCAAATGTACTAATTCGGATTGGTATTAGTGATTCGGAAAGGTGAATCCAAATTACCCTATGCCAAATACAAAAGTGTTTTATGGATTGACAGTGAGCAACTTTGGGAATAAGTTATAAGCCTGCTTGTAAGGTTCATAAATTTTACTTGCCATAGTCTATATACATGGTCTAGTACAGTTTACATAAGATAAAAATTAATACATATTTATTTACGCTCGGTTCTTATATAAGCTTCACATTCTGGAAAATGTGTAGTCCATCGCATCCACCAGGAAATCTGCATGCACAAATAAAAAGGGGGGAAACCCACACAGAGGGTATAAGTAATTAAGACTGGCACTATTAATCTAATGTGAACAGAAGAGAGGGTTTGAGACTAAGAGCAACCTGCATCTTCTTTGGTGAAACATAAGGGAGGCGTAATTCTGAATACATTTCCATAGTAGCCACCCTTTCCAATCAGCACTCCTAATTCTGTGGTAACAGCAGAAAAGCTTACATAAATCATAAAAATTATGGCTAGTACCAGAAGATACTCTAGAGGTTTTGAGACTAGCTTTTTTTTTTATACAATTTATTATGTTCTTAGTAGTTAGTTTTTGTTGCATAATAATAATTAGTTTGTTAACCTATATAAGACTTGATGTAATCACCTTGACCATGCCTTTACTCAATCTATTGAATACTAGTTAGTTTGTTACATGTTTTCTCACACTTTACCTCTCATTTGGTCCATAACATGCAGTGTTTCATCTTTTGCTGGTGTTTTAAGTTGGCGATCGGTGACAAGTTCAACTCCGAGCATCATGCCTCTTCCTCTCACATCACCAATTACTTTTGAAGAAAACCAACCAAGTTAGTTTAGAAACATAAGAATTGGTAAAAGGAAAAATGAAGACAGAAAATCCTGATTATTTTGTGTCACTAATGCATTTCAATTAAGCTCTTCCACTCTTGTAATTCAATCTAGAATGAACTCATGCATGCTTGTGCACTGATCTGGAGTGGACAAGGAATAAGAAGTGAAGGAAGATTACATTCATATTTGTCCTTGAGCGCAGTGAGCCTCTCTTTCAAATAGGAACCCACTACAAACGCATTTTCTTGAAGCTTCTCTTTCTCTATTACTCTTAAAACAGCCAATCCTGCAGCAGTGCAAACGGGATTCCCAGCAAAGGTGTTGAAATAATTTCGGCGAGTCAAGGCCTTTGCAATCTCAGGAGTAGTTACAACAGCACCAACAGGAATGCCGTTTCCAATGCCCTGTCAAAAGCAAAATTATGAAACAAGACAACAAAAAAGAGCATACGCACTTAACAAGAGTAGCATAATTATGTTTAAAAATAAAAGGACCATTTATATATAGTTTGTGCTGCACTTTCAATTCATGAGAAGATGAGGCATATACCTATATGCTTTTATGCTATTATTTTCTTAAGCACGGTGCTGCTCTTGTGAAAAATTTCCAATATGAACAGAGGAGACAGGCTCCTCATGTTTGCTAAATCAAGATCCTAGACAAGAGATAAGTTACCTTTGCTATTGTTACTATGTCAGGTACAACACCATGGGCCTCAAATCCCCAGAAATGGCTACCAGTGCGGGCAACCCCAGCCTGAATCTCGTCAGCAATACAAAGACCTCCAGCTTTTCTTACTGTATTGTAGGCAGCAGACAAGTAACCAGGAGCCAATTCAACGATGCCCCCTATTCCCTACATAGAAAAGAGCAGTAGCAAGAAGTGTGTAGAGTTCAAGACATTTATGAATTTACATCTGATTAGAATTAGGAAATTATACTACAGAGATTCAAGCTTAATGAAGCATTTTACACCCATTAGTACTTTTAGACAGTTTCTTATCACAAAATATTGAATGGAATTTTTTTTATCTAACACTGTTTGTGTCCTATGTAATGCAGGAACGTCGCACGAGACCAGTACAAATGATGCAAATGTCTTATGCAAGTTACTTATTTCTTTTAAATTTTGTATTATTATTATTATTATTAGGCTTAAATATGTTTTTATTCCTTCAAATTTAGGGTAATTCTATTTTTAGTTCCTCAAATTTAAAATTTTTATTTTTAGTTCCTATAATTTTAAAAAATCTTATTTTAATTTATGTATTTAAATTTCGTTAAAAAATTTATCAAATATTATTGTATAAAATCTACCTATTGGTATCCCTATTAGTGAAAATATCACATTAAATCCGGTTGATATTACATAACTGTTTTAATTAGTCACTTTCAAATATGTTATTGGTGATTTAAGAGACTAAAACAACTTTTAAAAATTACAAAGACTAAAAACAACAGTTTTAAATTTGAGAGACAAAAATAAATTTATCTTAAATTTGAGGGACTAAAAACATATTTAAACCTTATTATTATTTAGTTAAAAATATATGTATCCTCCGCTCATAATAATCATATTTAAACTAAATAAGATTATCATAAATGGTAAAGTTATTCTTCCAAGGAGTGTATATTTAGAATTTGAATTCAAGATCGTTGAAACAACTTATTATTTATTGATATATGGACTTGGTGATACTTTTAATTCATTTAATATTTAATAAATTCAAACTAAAATAATGCGCTGCAAAAAAACATTTTATCCAATGTTAAAATATTAGAAAAATATATTTGAACATCTCATATGATATATCACTATCTAATGTCTAATGAAAAAGATAAAAGAGAGAAAATCACAAAAACGATAACCGATATGATGTTACAGAAAGAAAGAGAGATAGAAAGAAAATTAAAGTTGTGAGTAAGGTGTTTAAAAAAAATAAAATATCTTAAAATCATTGCTCAAAAATATTTTTGCTAAAGGAGTCCTCAAGTGAGATGATTTTGAAAAACATAAAATCATCAATTTGTTTGATACCAAGTTGGACCCGTCTATGGTTTAACTAGATACCTGTATAGATTCAGATATGAAGGCTGCAACATTTCCAGAAGTTCCGAAATTGATGATTTCTTCAACATCTCTTACATACTTCTCCCCATCAGAACCGAAAAGCCCTCTGTAAGGGTCTGGATTTAGCGCATGATGAACGCCACTCTGTTCGTAGCAAAAAGCAGAAACAAAACAAGTTAGGCAACATTTTGTTAGATAGAAGTTAATCAAGACCAATTCATGGAGTATAACATTTTTATTTTTATATATTCCTTATCATTTAGAAATAGAAGAAACCCAAACATAAAATTATAAAGGGTTAATTTCTATACATTGTCGGTGTAAGTCAATAAGAGATCGTACTAAGTATTAGAAATAATTATTATACAAACTAACCAACTTATTATACCTAATAAATTATGATTAACCTGAATTAAAAAAGCGGTTTTCTTTAATTTCACCAAAGAGATGCGACCAAAGATGACAGAACAGTGTATCATATCAATTCATTATGTGTATCAAATGTTACCCTAAATTTTAAGTGGCAGAAAACATGAAGGTAAACTACAAAAAATACTCAATATTGGATATAGAGAAGAACAGTCCAGCCTGCAAGATATTGCATTTGCATGTGAATTCACATGACAATTTGCATCAAAGAAAATACTATTTTCCCATATCAAGAAATACAGTATTTCTTGGGCAGGATATATTTATCTTTCACTACTGATTGAGAACGAACAAGACACCACGTAATTGTAATATAATTTGCGTAATGGGGTCCACGCTTTCATTATCACGAGAAATCATCGTCACAGATCTGAAACTACTAGTTTACTTTCCATAGGAAATTCCGTTCCAAATACTATCAATAATGAACGGGTCGCTTTCATGGTCTACATGATGCCAAACTTCGTCGACGTTGCTATCACATACGTGTATATATATATAGTTAGTAATTGTGAAAGTACACTTGTGAGTGGAGTTTTAGAAAGACATGACAAAGTTTTATTTTTTATATAAAGAGAGTTGCATAGCTTTATGTTAATCTATACTTTTATTTCTTTTGTTTTAAGATAATATTAAATTCAAGAATATTTATTAAAAAGTAGAAATTAAAAACATTAGTTTCAAATTTTAGAACGGTAAAAATAAATAAATTCTTTCATAAGACTAAAATGAAAATTTGTTCTTTTTACGAAAATCAAAAATATAGTTGAGCTAAATATAAATAATTTGTCTTTTTCTTTCTCTTTGAAATGTAACTCGAAAACAAATCCTCAAATGTTTTAGACAAAGACGCCGTTCTGTTTTGGACAAAAAAAGACCCTGTTTTGTTCTTTATTAGTTGAGTTGTGCAAGTTACTTAGCACGGGTCGCAGTCTTTTATTTTTTATTTTTTTAATATACTTTTTATAGCCCATATTGCATTTTTATGCCAGACAACACTATTTAAGTCGATAAGAAATATTATAAATTGCAAAACATGAACAATTAATGTTGTCACATACTTAAAATTCAATCAAAACAGTTATATGTCCATTGATTCACACACTTAATAGTTACAGGTAGTAGTCCAATATATAACTCATTATTTATTTTAGTTTTGATTATTAAGTGCAATAAGAATATGATTAAGTAAAAAATGAAAATATTTTATATTACCACAGCTCAAGGTTATCTGATACCTCTTCTTTATATCACTTGAATGCTTAGTGGAAAATAACAAGTGGTTCTTAACCTAATCCTAAGAAAGGTTAACAAAATTTGTTCTAGAAAAGCCTTGATTTATTCATTCTCATTTTAAATAAATATTTTGTCAACTTTCTTTGCATTATTGGTTAAGTATTAACTCACTTATTTTTAATAGTTGATTTAGAAGGTATTTGTTCAGAAATGATTGACATGAAATAACCTAATCTTCATTGGACAAAATAAAATAATAAAATATGTAAAAAGGAATTGTTAAAGTGAGAAATAGAAAAAGGAGGAAATATATATCTATATATATAGATATAGATATATAGATATATATGTATGTATACCTGCACAACATTAAATTTCCAAATGCTTTGAGCTGTGGCCCCCATTGTCCCACCAGCATTCCCATGGTAAGAATTCCTTAGAGATATTATGTCATGGTAGCCGCTGTACAATCTTGCTATTAGTATCGCCAATTCGTTTGCTTCCGTTCCAGAATTTGTGAAAAACGCCACCTACACAAAAAAAACAAATTATTTACAAAAAATTAAGGAAACTAAAATATGATGTTGTTGTCTACTGTTTTCTATTATATTCTCATTGGTATATAATTTTGTAGAAAATGTTAAATATTTGAATTAAACTACTATAATACTGGTCTATGTTGTTACTTAAACAATAGTATAAAAATAATCACGATAATTATAATTTTAATGATAAATTTCTTATCCTAAAATATGAAACATAATATCACAATACCAACAAAAATAACTGATGTCAGAATTTAATTCTTATACAAATTTCAATAAACCTAATATCCTCACGTATATAAGTTTCTTTTTCCCGATAAAGGCACGCAAAATATATAAGTATATTTTTAAAATCAGTTGATATACAAATAATATTGGTATAAATATAAACCGTAAAAGTTATGATTGGGCACTTAGTTTATTAAATATGATGATACTATTATTAATATTTACATTTTAAGTGTATAGTCTATTTTTTCTAACTATTGAATAAAAAAAAATGAAAGTTACATATTTATACACTATATATATTATAAAGAAAATATATTTTAGTAACCATTCCTTTAATTTTCACTTTTTACTAAACGAGTAATATAAAAAAAATTATATATTTTTTTAAATAATTATTTATAATTTATAATATTTATTTATATGTAATTTACAGATATGAAATCCCTGGACCCTTCTAATTTATATAATAAAAATTCAATTATTATATTATTTAAAAATATAAAATAATAACCGCACAATAAATATCATTAAAAGGATAACCCCACACCGATAACTTGGCTCAAACTCAATGTTTTGTGATGCAATAATTATATGTTTCATTTTTGGCTCAAACAGAAACATTAATTGAATTTTATGTGCAAAAAAAAAAAAAAAAAAAACATTAATAGTGGATCGTTTGTTTTTCTCCGTTAAACTAGATAGCGAGAGAGTTTTGTTTTGTGTGGCTTGACAGGGAAGTAGACAATATGTTCCACTGAACTAAGTCATTATCATTTAAATCATTCTACGCCACGCACAGCATCACTTCCAGACCCCAGTCCCATGATATTAACATGGAAATTTATAAATAAAGCAGTTTATTAACATATGCTTGCTCTATGATCAAAACATGGCTATTTATTGGACTAAAAAGATAATTTTATTTATTTATATATTTACTATTTCAGTATGCAACTTAACTATATATTATAATAAAAGATTTAGCATGTTCTTATTTGTTTGGACCAAGAAGAGAATCTTGTCCACTCTCTGCTACATTATCTTCTTTTATTTTGAGAAAAAAAAACTATCCTTGTACTATAAATTTAGCTGATGAATTTAAATGATAATAAATATTAAGTAATTATATATAAACAAATCTTCAAAAACATTATTCTAAATTATTTACATATCATTAACGTAAAAATATATTCTAGTTTATTAACTATTTATTAACAAAAGAAAAAATATATATAAAGTTTCATTAGTATTATTTTTTTTACTTAAAATTGAAATTTCTTTAAAATTATTTTTTAATTAAAACTAAAATTTCATTAAATGTTATCATATATTATGGAAATAAAATTGTAATTTCGATTGAAAAAACATAAAAGAAAACACAACTATAAAATTGTATCTACATTTTGACTTTTAACAAAAACTTAAATAAAGTACAACTATAATTTTGATAAGAAAACGAAAAAAAAATATTGATAAGAGTTTGTCGATAATACATTAATAATATAAAATAATTTTATACTATCAATTAAATAAATATCATCATTGATAACTTATAATAAAAGTCAACAATTTATTATAAATAAAAGTTTGGGATCGGATGAGTGATTGTATCACCCATTTTCTCCATTTATAAAACTATATGTATATTTTGTCTTTTAATAAAAAATTAAATAAGAAGTTAGATGCTGAATTTTATATTATTTGGTTTTTCACCAAAAATGGTTAATTTAATTTTTTTTATCGAAATGGGAAATTTAAAAAAAAAACAAAATAAATAAGTAGTGTTTCGCATAAGCCCAACTTAGTCATTTGTATTTTTTATTAAAAAAAAATATTGGAAAATTGAAAAAAAAAAATTTAAATGATTGCTAAAAACTAAATATTTTTATAAGGCGGAAGCAAATATAGATAACTCGCGAACCCAAACTAATCCAAACCAACCCAATAAATTTGGATTGGATATTTTTAATGTCTAAGTCAGACCCAACCTATCTAACCAAAGTTCAATACTGTACGAGACGAGTAACAAGTTTGATGTTTTCAACTCGTTACCCGACCCAACCGGGTCATAATATAATAATAATAATAATAATAATAATATTTAAATAATTATTTATTCAAGAAAATATTCATTATCACTATTACTTAGTAAAAAAAATTGTATTTTAACTTGATAGAATTGTAACAATATAATATATTTATTTTAAATTTTATTTTTTGTTAATTAATATTAGTTTTTTTACTTGATAATAATATAATAATAAATTTATTTTAAAATTAAATTTATATCATTATTTATTATATAAATTATTAATATTATATTTACAATAATATATCAAATAATTTACATTTATTTTAAAATATTTATATTTTTACAAAATAAATAAATTTAATTATATTAATCCGATTAATTTAATTCATTCGTCATTGAATTGAGTGAAATTAAATTTTAAAAAAAATTTACACAAACTCAACCCAACTTAATTTATTAAATTTTAATTAAATTGGATAAGAATTTCATCCAAAATCCGACCAACCCAACCCAACTCTCCTAATTTCTGATTGCAAAAAGCCAAAAACAATGAAACGCGGACTTTGGCAATTGTTTGCTTTTAATGCAAAAGATAAGATGCGAAGTCGTGGGGTTGATTACGGTTAGTGTGGTATTCACCTTAAGATTACCGGGAAGCGTAGAAGCCAAAGCTTGGGCAAATTCCGCTATGGCGGGGTTCAGGTAAAGAACCGTGGAGTGCTGCAAGCGCTTCGTTTGTTGGACGATGGCCGCGACCACATCGGGGTGGCAGTGCCCGCAGCACACCGTAGCAATCCCTCCGAAAGCGTCCAGGTACCTCCTCCCCTTCTCGTCGAACAGGTACTGCATCTTCCCCTCCACCACCTGCAGCTGCACCCTCCCCCATACAATCATTTAGTTAGTTAGTTAGTTACTGTTGAATTAACACAATCAAACACAGTTACTCATCCTCGCAGGTTAATTTTCAACGAGGAATCATCCGGTGCGCGCGTCCTCACCGGGTTTTTATAGAAGTGGTAGATCGAAGGACTGAGGTACTCCCTTCGCTTCGCCAGGATCTCATCGGCGGAGATGCCGGAGTACGCCGTCGGAGTGTGATCGAACGCCGGCAAGCCTCTCGCCGGAGTAAATGCCTCCTTCGTCTTCTCGGTCGCCGGCAGCGAGACTCCGCGGCGGAAGAGGAACCGACTCGGCGGCAACGACGACGAGCGGCGAAGGACGAACCTAGACGCTAACGATCCTGTCATGTTTCCGACGGTGCTCCGGGAATGCGCAACCCGACCCGATGATAGGTTTTGAAGAGATGAAGGAAAGAATGGATGAAGAGAGGAGCGAATTTGGAGGGGTGGTGGAAGAATGGCGAGGCTTATATAGGGGAGGAGGGAGGGTTGATGACGTGGAGGGAGGTGATTGGTGGAGAGTTACTGCTGCGTCGTAATTCACTGCGGTAAAAATAGTTTATGGCAAATGAGGACAAAGTGTGTAATGTGTGTGCGATGCTAATGATCCCGTTTTCTTCGTTGTTTTATTGTCACAACAAAAGTTTCCCCAATTTCGCTACAGGGAAAGATCCCTTGAATGTAGACATTGTGATCTTCACAATTTTATTTGTTTCCAAGGATATGCAAAAATGGAAAAAGGAGAAAAAAAAAGGTTATGAGAAATTTCCGGGTGTGGAAATTGAGCGATCACATGGATAGAACTCTGGATATTGTTGTTTGATGATTGGATAAATAGATACAATCATTACAATGGACAATATGTATTTATGGTCCGATCAGTGTGTAAGATAATAACGAAGTCAAACCGATTTATTGAGTTTGGATTAATTTTATTTAGGAGTTAAATTTGATAAAAATTTGAGTGACAGGTTTTGTAGTCATATATAATAAAAATAAAAATAATTAACACTTATTTAGAACAATACTCTATGTCCCTCTTGCTAAATAACAGGTTTTGTGCTATTGAATTGATAATATTATAATAATATAATATATTTATTTTAAATTTTATTTTGTATTAATGTTAGTTGTTTAAATTGATAACATTATAACAGATCAATAAATTTATTTTAAAATTTAATTTGTATTATTATTTTTTTTATGAGTTGATAACATTGCATTTGCAATAAAATGTCAAATGATTTATTTTTATTATGAAATATTTAAGTTTTTACTAAATATAAAAAAAAATTATGTTTACATGATTAACTTGATTAATCTAATTCAACTCACTTTTTATCGATTGGATTAAATTTTTAAAAAATACTCAAACCCAATTGATCCAACCCAACTCAACTTGGTAGTTTACATCCCTAGTACAATCCAATTGATTTTAAAAGCAAAAGGTAATTCATTTTGATTATATATAAAAAAAGAAAATTTTGCTTTAATTTATATTGATCAAAATAAATTTTAATTTTAATTTAATTGAATTTAAGTACAAATATTTTAATTAAATTGGATAATTCAAATTATATATCCTTATATTTTAACATATAATTTATTTTCTAGGAAATCTTGAAGTGATTTTATGTTTCGTAATAACAAAAGGATCGAGTTGAGTAGTTGATGAATGGTGGTGATTTAGCTATAAGTGTAACATTAGAAGTTAAGATATTTTGTCAAGCTGAGGCTAATAGGGAGAATCTAGAGTTGAGATTTTATATTCTTCTTTGTCTCCTTCTTTACTCAGGTCCATAACACTCTTAGATAGGAATCTTGTTGTTAGAAGCTCTTGGAAGTGTTCTTTAGTATTGGGAAGCTTGGATTAGTGGTAGTGTTGTGCTTATTCAAGTGTGGAGCTTTAAAGCTCAAATTCTCATTCTTCCTCTTCTTCAACTTTGAGAGTGCAGAATCGAAGTAAAAGAATATAGGATGAATGGTTGATTGGATTTTTGTATTGTATGTAAGTGAGATAATCAATTGTTGCATGAATTATAGGATTTGTAGATTTGAAGGTTGTGTTGGTGGAGTTTTGGTAGTTCTTGAGGTGGTTGAGATGATTTTGATGATCTTGACAGATTTTATAGTTGCATGTGGTGGTTTTGGGGCAAAATGAGTTGTTAGGAAGGTATATGTATGAATGATTGAGTTGCATGCATGAATTGATGTATGGGTTGGGTGGATTTTTGAATTATTGAAGTATTTTGTTGGGTTGATGTTCTTGAGCTTTGAATCTGCATGTTTCTTTGGATTTGATCACTTAGAATGCCCGTGGGGGTGGCTTTAAGTGAGCCTAGGTGGTTGTTCACAGATGCTCTCTAACTTGGGTAACTTAGAGCAAGTTTTGGTTGCTCAGAGTGAGTTGTTGGTTGCTCCAAGTGAGCTTGGGTTGTTGCTCAAGATGCTCTTTGACTTGGGTTGCTTCGAGCAAGTTTTGATCGATTAGAGCGAGGTGTTGGTCACTCTAAGTGATCAACTGACCTCTCTTAAGAAAAAGATTGACACGTTTAAGAAAGTAGATGATTGAAGTTACTTTTGTGGTCTTCATGAAAGTTGTAGCCCTGATGTTATCTTTCCAATGGCTTTGGAATCACCTAAAAAAGAGGTCTGGAACTTCAATTATGACCTTTTTAGTGAACAAAGGTCAAATTATTAGTACTTAGGTAAACTGTCACGACTTTTGTGATTTTCAATATAGTAGATGATGGAGTTTGAACTTGAAGTCTTCATAAGAGTTGTAGAGAATTTTTTTAGCTTTCATATGAGAAAAATATGAGTTTCATTGGAGTAGTAGAACCCCCTATGTATTGTTTTAAGTGAAGGTTTTCATTGTATGATAGTTGATTCTGATAAGTTGTATGTTGATACATGTTGTATGATGAACATGAATAGATGTTTTGAGTACTATTGCATGTTGTGTGGAGTATAATAATTTTTCTATATATTTTGATTGGATATGACATATGTAGATGTTTGTTTGGTGTTGGATGATGATGAGCATATGTATGTTTTATATATATATATATATATATATATATATATAACTTTTGT